ATTCGAGGCTCAGCACGAACCGCTCAGAATCATCAGAATCTCCCCAAAGCTTGAAGGCTCGATCTTAACTTCCGATTCTCCCACGACGTGCCTTCACCCCGTCGTCCCGAAGATCGTTGCTGCTTAGATAAAGGTCCTTCAGCGCGGCGAGGCCCTTGAGAGCGGGCGCCAGGGCCTGACGGCGAAGTTGCTTTCCCGAGCGAAGGGCCTTACACACCTAGATGGGCCGTCGTGGTGACAATGCGGTATGCCCTAGAATCCTCCGCACCCGCTTGGCCTGGAGATCTTGGTCAGACAGAACTCGTCCCCGGCCTGCGCACCCTCTGAAAAGATCTTGTTTTCCGAGAGGTCCAACTGCTCGAGCAAGGGCATACCCGTGAGGGACTCCGCCAGAGCCTGGTCGGCCCCGACGTGTGGAGCACTTCAACGTCATGTTGGAAGCCACACAGGCGCGTAGCAAGCTCAGGGTCTGAACTAGAGTGCTGGCAACTCGTGCTGTCGGGTGTCCCCTCTTCGGTCGCTTCCTTGCAGCAGGTGCCTGCAGCTACTCGGAGTTCTTCCCCCAAGATGGGATCGAGGAGAACCTGAATGCCTTCCGTTTCGACAACAAGATGTTTTGGAAATGTTCCTATTCAATTCCTATTCAAACCACATCATAACACCACGTCTCAAGAGATCCGCAGCGAGGCTCCAAACCCCGCACGCATTCGAGGTTCGGCACGAACCACTCAGAATCATCAGAATCTCCCCAAACCTCCTGTTCTCCCACGACGTGCCTTCGCCCCGTCGTCCCCGAGACCGTTGTCGCCTAGACCAAGGAACTTCAGCGCGGCGAGGCCCTTGAGAGCGGGCACGAGGGCCTGGCGACGAAGTGGCTTTCCCGAGCGAAGGGCCTTAGACACCTAGATGGGCCGTCGTGGCGACAATGCGGTCTGCCCTAGAATCCTCTGCACCCGCTTGGCCTGGAGATCTTGGTAGGACAGAACTCTTCCCCGGCCTCAGCACCTTCTGAACCGATCTTGTTGCGCTGTAGGTGCAACCGCTCGAGCAAGGACATGCCCGTGAGGGACTCCGCCAGGGCCTGGCCGGCCCCGACGAGTGGAGCACTTCAACGTCATGTTGGAAGCTACAAAAGTGTGCACTAGTAGCAAGTTCCGGGTGTAATCGGGGCTGCTCATAGCAGACTCAACTCGTGCTGTCGGGCATCCTCTCTTCGGTCGCTTCCTCAGCAGCTGTCTGCAGCTTCCTCCGAGTGCTCCCGCCAGGTTCGGGACGAAGAGAACCTGAACGCCTTCCCTTTCGACAACAAGATACTTTGCAAATGTTCATATTCAAAACATATCATAACATCACGTCCCAAGAGATCCGCAGCGAAGCTCCAAACCCCGCACGCATTCGAGGCTCAGCACGAACCACTCAGAATCGTCAGAATCTCCCCAGAGCTTGAAGGCGCGATCTCAACTTCCGGTGCTCCCACGACGTGCCTTCGCCCCGTCGGGCCCGATCTTGTTGCTGGCTAGATCAAGGACCTTCAGGGCGGCGAGGCCCTTGAGAGCGGGCGCCAGGGCCTGGCGGCGAAGTTGCTGTCCCGAGCAAAAAGCCTTACGCCTAGATGGGCCGTCGTGGCGACACACGGTTCTTTTGCATCAGCACAGAACTACATCCCCTGCCTGCATTCTTTCTGGATTGATGAAGCCGTTTTTTAAGACCAGCTCCTCAAGACCAGACCTTCCATCCAGGGCGATGCCCAGGGCCTGGCCAGATGCAAAGCACTTAGGCAGTGCCACAAGTGCCAGTGTCTCCTATAGGTCCATCGAACTCTTGGACATGCGTCCTAAAAGGAATTTGCTGCTGTAGACGAAAGCTGGTGAATGCCATCAAACACACCTACCTCCGACAGCGAGCCGTTGATTCCCCCGACGAGTACGAGGCTCTTCAGCGCGACATGGCCCTCGAGGGCCTCCAACACGACCTGGCAGAGAAGCGCGAGACCGCAGCCAGGCAAACGAGACCCACGGGGCACACCCCACCGCCTCGACATCCTTGCCCTCCTCGATCTGTAACACCTGGAGCCGAGACTGGCCCTGCAAGGCCGCAGCCAGCTCCTGACAAAAGCAGGAAAAGCGGCTGGAAGTTGTGCTCTCGCCAGAACTGGCAACAAAATGAGCTCCGTTCACGATGCCTTGCGACCCTCTCGTTTCTTCCAAAAGATCTCGACGTGGCCATCTCGGAGAGCCTGCCGCACCTGTGCAAAAGGGAGCCCCCTTCAGTTCTGCTGAGACGGAGGCCCCAGGCGCGGAGCTGCACCTCCTGGGCTTTGTCAACAGCAGTCGACTTGTCCCTGTATGCCACCACCACCACCACGTCCATCAGCCTGAAGCATTGACTCAGCCTCGCGGCAGCCTCGGTGTTGCACACACGGCACTGTTTTGCACAGGGCTGCCCACGGTGCGGTACGTTACACAGCCCGGCCTGGCCTCCACCCGATCATCCCAGTCTAGGTTCGTAAGGTTTCCGGCGATGTGGAGCTGAGCGGCCGCATTTCGCTGGCTGGAGGCCAGAGCCTGCATGTTTGGTGGGCCCTTGACTCCCTCATGGCCGACGTTCGCCCGCTGGGTCCTAGCCTCGAATCCTTTCGTGCCGATCCCGTTGGCCACGAGGCTCAGTCGTTCGATCGCACAGAGTTCAGAGTCGAGGCATTCTGCCACGACCTGGCAACTGAGGCGACGCACGAAGAATAAGAAGGAAGGTGCCTTGCATTGCCGGCCTTGGCCCCCGCATCCTCCAAGGCGTTGTGGGCAGCACGGAAGTCCTTGAGGGTCTTCGTACGGAGAAGCTTCTGCAAGGCCTGAGCATGCCGAAGTGGCGTTTGATGCATCGGAGCATGCGACTGCAGTACGTCTTACTTCTGCGCGTGCGTCATACAGCCGATCGAACATAACTCAAGGCAGACAACATGTGCGACCTACAAGCTTTTCCCTACAAACACGCGCCCACCCCCGACGGGCACAAATCGGCCAACGGGGCGACAACCG